GACTGTCTGGCTGCTCACAATCCAAAAATCCTTCTCATCAGCCACCAAAATCCACAGAAACCTGCCTGGCTGCTCACAATCAAAAAATCCTTCTCATCAGCCACCAAGGCAGCAAAATACACAGGGACCGTCTGGCTGCTCAGCCAGGATAAAATCCACAAAGGCTTCTCATCAGTCACCACAATCCACAGAAACCTGCCTGGCTGCTCACAATCCAAAAATCCTTCTTATCAGTCTCCAAGCCACCAAAATGCACAGGGACTGTCTGGCTGCTCAGCCAGGGCAAAATCCCTTTTCAGGATAAAATCCACAAAGCCTTCTCATCAGTCACCACAATCCACGGGACTGTCAGGCTGTTTACTCAGGGTACAATCCACAATGCCTTATTATCATCCACCAAAATCCACAGAAACCTGCCTGGCTGCTCACAATCCAAAATTCCTTCTCATCAGTCTCCAAGGCACCACAATCCACGAGGACTGCCTGGTTGTTCAGCCAGAGTGCAATCCCTTTTCAGGGTACAATCCACAAAGCCACCACAATCCACAGGGACCGTCTGTCTGCTCAGTCAGGTCACAATCCCTTTTCAGGATAAAATCCACAAAGCCTTCTTATCAGCCACCAAAATCCACGAGGACCTGCCTGGCTGCTCACCCAGGGCACAATCCAAAAATCCTTCTCATCAGTCTCCAAAGCACCAAAATCCACACCGACTGTCTGGCTGCTCAGCCAGGGCACAACCCTTTTTCTAGGTACAATCCCTTTTCAAGGTACAACCCCTTTTCAGGCCACAACCCTTTTCCAGGTGCCCCAATCCCTTTTCCAGGTGCCCCAGTCCCTTTCCCAGGTGCCCCAATCCCTTTCCAGGTGTCTCAATCCCTTTTCCAGGTGCCCCAACCCCTTCTCAAGGTACAATCCCTTTCCAGGTACAATCCCTTTTCCAGGTGCCCCAAACCCCTTCCAGGTGCCCCAATCCCTTTCCAGGTACAATCCCTTTTCCAGGTGCCCCAAACCCCTTCCAGGTGCCCCAATCCCTTTCCAGGTGCCCCAATCCCTTTCCAGGTACCCCAATCCCCTTTCCAGGTGCCCCAATCCCTTTTCCAGGTACAATCCCTTTTNCCAATTATATTAATAATTAAATTCTATTTTACAATTACAATTCTATTGTAATTACACTATACTAATAAAACAGTGTATAACCACATAATTATAATTATGTGTTTTATACACATAATTTCTGTATTTCATTAATATAAATTATTATATTAATAAAATAGAAATATAGTTTATTTAATAACATAAATTATATTATTAGAAATTATATTTTATATGTATAGAAATACAGAATTACATAATATTAATAAAACAGCTCTAACAAGAGCCATTTTGTCCCTCTGAATGCCTCTCAGACAAAGATGGTCCCTGCATCTCATTAAAAGAAAAACAACCCCACAGCCAAATGGGTAAAAAAAAGTCCAAAAAACACAAGGAGTTTTCTTGGACTTAAGAGGAAAGGGGGACTGCAGCAAGTTGCCAGTTCAGACATCCCCTTTTCCCATAATATTTCTAATTTTTGGCTGTTCCATTCTCCAAACTCTCCCTTTGGTCACATTCCCCCTTTTGGCTCCACCAGGACAGTGTTTGCTCTCTAAAACACAGAGAACACCAGCTTGCCTGAAGAATGAAAAGCTTTGGGTTGACAAATGTAACAAAAGTGAGAAAAGTTGGGTTCTCTGCAGCAGAGAGGGAATTTCATAGTTTGAATTCCTTGGGATAGATAGATCCCCTTGTGGGGATCTGATGGTTTTAACACTGGAAGCCCAAACTATTTCATGAATCACTCTGAGATCAAGCATGATGTTCACACACAAACCAAATTCTCTTCAATAATGCTCATTATGTGGGAAATTTATAAAATCAGGAGGTGGTTTTGTCTTCCAAATTAAAAACGGCTTCAGCGCCAACGGCCGCGCGAATCACAGCTCCTCAACAAAGCCTTCACCCAGCAAAGATTTGTCTCCAAACCCACCTAATTTTGGGAGGTGCTCCTTGTAGTAGAAGCCCCCAGAAGCCTCCACGGTGCATTTGAGGTCCACTTTTCCCTTGTGGCCCACCCTGTAGACGTTGGTGGTGCCGTNCATGGTTGGGTTTTTTTTAAGGAGGCACAGACAATTTATCTGGCAAATTATGGTGGTTTTTTCCCATAAAATAAAATTTCTCTAAAGTAAAATACAAATCCATTAACAGATTAAAAAAAAAAATAAATCCATATTAATAAATTAATTTGATTCAAAACATTCCTCACCCAAATTTCTTAGCTCAAATGTTAAATAACTATTATTAAACTATTTATTTATTATATATTATTATATATAACATATTAATATATTAATATATTAATATATAATATTTATATATTATACATTATATTTTATATTATATATAAATATTTATAATATTTATATTATATATATTATATAAATAATATATTTATATCATTATATATTATATATTCTATTATATTTCTTTCAAACTTTGTTTAAATAATATAATATATATATTATATATTAATATAATTATATATTAATATATAATATATATATTATTTAAACAAAGTTTGAAAGAAATAGTTAAAAATACCACCTACTGGGGAGGTTGGTGTGTAAATAATTTACATTATTTCTATTATTGCCCAGAAATCAAACACCCAGTAGTTGTCACTAGATGGGAATTTGGATTATTTGAACTGCCCAGGCCTAAATCCGAGCCCACACTTGTTCCTGGATCTCATTTCCCACTCCACCAGCCAGAGCTGGTTTAATTAAGAATTACAGCTGAAAATAACTGCAATTTCTGTTTTCACTACAGGATAAAGCACAATGGGAGAAAATATTTGTATTTCTTGTGCTCGATTACACAAAACATTTCCCTGTGCAGCTCGCTGGCTCCTCCAGCTCCATTGTTTGCCAGGAAAAAAATAAAAAATAAAAAATAAAAAACAAGGCTTGTGAAAACCCACTGAGGTTGTGATTTATTGGTGAGAAAAGGCCAGGAAATAACCTGGGTAAATTATTCCACATCTGAAATTCGGCCCAGCCCTGAGCAGGAGATCCGAGCAAAATGTTGGAGTTGCATGGGAACAGAACAACATCAATATTTTGTACAAGATTATCTCAGGTTTAATTAAAGAAACCTATTTCAGGAACTGTCTTTATGCAGATTTTTTCCTTTATTCAGATTTTTTTCCTTTTTTTTTTTTTTGCAGAACTCACCAGAATGTGCCTGAATTTTCCAGCCCTAAGAGAAAACTGGTGAGCTTTGCTCTGCTGCCCTGCTCACAGACACTGATTTATCTCCCAGTTATTCAGCAAATATTCAGGACATGGATACAAAAGCTCTTCAGTAAAACTCAGTTCCATCCTTTTCAGCCAAGGATGAGAGGCTCTCCCACAAGAGCCATAAAATCCAAACGAAACAAGAAATAAAAATAATAATATTTATTATATTCATTATAGAAATATCATATGCATAATATATTATGTATAATATATAATTGTATAAGAATATATTATATATGTCATATTATATAATATAGATTATATAATATATATAATATATATAATATATATAATATATAATATATAATATATAATATATAACATATAACATATAATACATAACATATAATATATAACATATAATATATGGAATTATATTTATAATATCAAATATATAATTTATAATATATAATAATATATAGTATATAGTTTATATATTATATAGTATATAATATATAGTATAGAATATATAATGTATATTATATATAATATTATATATATTATATGATATATGATATGATAGATATTATATGATATTTATGATATTATGATATTATATTATATTATATTATATATTTGTTATATTTTTATAGAAATATAAAAATATAATATAATGTAATGTAATGTAATATAAATATAATAAAAACTTTGGTTTTCTCTCTTTGTCCCTAAGGAACTGCCACAGGTTTTATTGTCAACTTTACTTAGAAAGAAAGACAAAAAAAAAAAGAAGAAAATACTCTGATTTTCTCTTCTTTTTTTCCTTCTACTTTATTTAGAAGGAAAAAAGAGAAAATACTCTGATTTTCTTTTTGTCCTGAAGGGACTTCCAAAGGTTTTATCTTCTACTTAACTTAGAAGAAAAAAAATATTATACTATACTATACTATACTATATTATACTATACTATACTATATCACACTATACTATATTACACTATACTATATTACACTATATTACACTATACTATACTATATTACACTATACAATACTATATTATATTACACTATACTATANCAAGTCCTAAAATCTCCATTTTCCCATCAATCCCAGCATTTCCAAGTCCTAAAATCTCCATTTTCCCATCAATCCCAGCATTTCCAAGTCCTAAATTCCTGTGACTCCTAAATTCTGCATTTTCCCATTAATCCCAGCATTTCCAAGTCCTAAATTCTGGATTTTCCCATTAATCCCAGCATTTGCCAGTCCTGAATTCTGAATTTTCCCATCAATCCCAGCATTTCCCAGTCCTGAATTCTGAATTTTCCCATTAATCCCAGCATTTGCCAGACCTAAAATCTCCATTTTCCCATCAATCCCAGCATTTCCCAGACCTAAAATCTCCATTTTCCCATCAATCCCAGCATTTCCAAGTCCTACATTCTGGATTTTCCTGTTAATCCCATCATTTCCCAATGCTAAATTCTGCATTTGCTGTTAATCTCAGCATTTCCAAGTCCCAAATTCCTATGAGTCCTAAATTCTGCATTTTCCCATTAATCCCAGCATTTCCCAGTCCTAAAATCTCCATTTTCCCATCAATCCCAGCATTTCCAAGTCCTAAAATCTCCATTTTCCCATTAATCCCAGCATTTGCCAGACCTAAAATCTCCATTTTCCTGTGAATCTCAAGATTTCCAAGTCCTAAATTCCTGTGACTCCTAAATTCTGCACTTTCCCATCAATCCCAGCATTTCCAAGTCCTAAATTCTGGATTTTCCTGTTAATCCCATCATTTCCCAATCCTAAATGCTGCATTTTCCTGTTAATCACAGCATTTTCCAAGTCCTAAATTCCCGTGAGTCCTAAATTCTCTATTTTCCCATTCATCCCATCATTTCCCAAACCTAAATTTTGATTTTTCCCCATTTATCCCAGCATTTCCAAGTCCTAAATTCTGCATTTCCATTTATCCCAGCATTTCCAAGTCCTAAATTCTGCATTTTCCCATTAATCCCATTGTGCGGTGCAGGGTTCTAGGTCAGGTTCTGAGCAGCTCATGGCTTATAAAGAGGGAAAAAAAGCCAATTTCTGAGGCATTTCCCAAAAACAGGAATTCAGGAGCACAGAGATTTAATAACCAGCAAAGACACAGCAAAAACACCCAAAATCTACTTTGGGGATGCATTCCTGAGCTGGAATTTAAAAATCTCATGGCTCCTTGTTAAAGTTCATCAGAAGATGCCAGGCTGAAAAAAAAAAACCCCAAAAAATTTAAAATATTTCAGTTAAAAGTTAAAATATTTCAGTTAAAAGATTTCAGTTAAAAGTTAAAAGATTTTCATGTTGAAACTGAAATAACAGAGTTTGCCTTGACATTAATTTAAAGCCTGGTTTCAAAAAGTCTCCTCACCTATATGGAAGGTTAGGCCAGGATGGATATTTAACATATCTTATAATTTTATGGTATTTATTCATGCTATTTACAATAATAAATGCCATTTCTATCTTTATTTCCTCCACTCTCTG